TTCAAAAGTATATTGATCTAGGTGGAAGATATGTTAAAAATAATTACTTCATATTTTGGTGGGTTTGTTTAATTAAGGTTGCTATAATTTTATAGCAATACTTTTTGACTTACTCTTGTAAATAAAATTGCTTAAATATGCTTAAAAATTCATAAAAGTGCCTAATAGAGGTCTCTTTATTTTTTATATATTAATTATTTTCCTATATCTCTACTAGATCCATAACAACTAATACAAGAGATTCACCTTTATGAAGAAAAATTGACCTTTAATTTAAGAGTAATTTTACTAAATTACAACTTTTCTGTTTGGTTATGACTTTCATGTTTTCTACAGCAAGATAAATGAAGCAATTTAACCCCTCTCTTTATGTCATATATTCCTTAGAAATAAACATCACATCTAATTAAGTTCTTTTGTATTCTTTTTGGGAATTATATAGCCTCTTCATGTTTTGTTTGTTTTGTGATATATTTGCTTCATTTACATTATTTCACACACATTAGCCAAAAAACAAAACAAAAATGTTTAAGTCAAGAAGAAAATTTCACAAGGAAATACATTGCTAGAAATTAAATGACCTATTTGAAAGTTAACTAACTTAATAGTTATCATATCTTACACTTCATATTTCTTTTCAGCTGTGTAAAGAAGCAAAATTGCCATTAGTTAGAAATTGTCAGGTGAATGTGAGCTAATTTCTTCATCCTTACCTAAACATCTAGTAGCCAAGCACTGAATATTAAACTAAAACCTGTAGCATTACAATTAAATTCATTAAAATAGAGCTTAATATATTAATGAAATAAAATTGTATTTGTGGAATTTATCGAACATTTGTCATCAAACCTGGAACTGCAAAACCTGCCAAGGAATACGATAAATTCGATTTTAGTATAACATTTGTCAATGGGTTAAATGTTCAATACTTCATTTTTAAGGGCTGAATCTGTGCATTTATATGACAAATCTTTCTTTGAATTATTTGGATCATTTACTAAGTGAACCATAAGAATAAGTAACATACATGCTTAGATGTGCTTTATTATTATTATTATTATTATTATTTTGCATTTTCAAAATCTAAAAACTATTTTGGTTAAAAAATGAAATATAATAGCTTTCAATTTGACATGTGGAATCTGATTCTTTGTGCATTTTATTACTACCATATATTTAAGTGAAACATAAAATCCTTGTAACGATAGAGAATTTAAAGTGGCTCTTGCACATGAACAATGATTCTAACTAATATAGTAAATTAAGGCTGAATGTAAACTGTCAGAATTTTTGTTTCATGTTATATGTTTGTTAAAATGAGGTATTTTAGTTAACTGTTAATGTTACATCGTTCTAATTAAGCTGTAAAGACCAATGACAGAAAGAATAGAAAAAAGAATAATTTCAAACATAATCTAAAGCTTTTTATATTTAATCGTCAAACTGCAGAGCAATGCATATTTGACCACAAAACATATCAATATATAAACCCAGATCCTTTTTGTTGTTGTTGTTTGAAAAACACTCAAATATTCCTATATAAGAGTATTCATTCAGATGTAGGCAAAGTATGGCAAAAATTGGTTGAACCTAACATTACCGGTTTCTATCATTTGTGCCCCACTTCTGTATCTTGTCTCTAGCCTCTCTTTTCATTTTCTCTTGACACTTGATTTAGAACTTCAATTATATTGCTTTTGGACTATTTCAATAACCACATTTCTGTTTACAATAGTAGCATTTTAATATTCTACTCAACTTTCTTCATTTCTCCTAGACTTATCTCCCCATAAAACAAAACTGACCATACAAACTGTTGGCAACCTATTCGTCTTTAAGCTAAAGAACAGATCCCTTAACTTGGCATATATGTCCCCAAACATACTCTACTTCACTTGTCAGTCCCACACTCCAATGAATGCCCAGAGCTTGTATCTTCTCTGCCTATTAAAATATCACCTTCTCATTTAGAGCTTTCTGCATTCCCCGAGGCACAACTAATTGATTCATTGAGGTGTGCTCCAATGATACATTGTCCATATTCCATTGAGAGAATTTGTTTTATTATTATTGTATATTTTCATAATCATGACATTCAGAGTCCCTTGGGGATGTATATAATTACTTTCATGTTTGTGTCTTTAGAGATTAACACAATGTCCTATAGCATATGAAAGTGAATGTTTTCACTGAACATTTGCTAAATGAATGAATACATGAATGAATGAAAGCAAAATGTTTTAAAGAGATTATCAGCATAAAAATGTTATTAGAAAACTTTTTAAATGTAGAAAAACAGTTCCAAGCAGTCAATAAATGATTTGAACTACTCACTTTGCAGTTAGCAGCCCAATGTGCAACCCACTATGCCACCAAGATAGTTGTTATTTTAATGCTATCTTCAGGACAGATCAATTGTTTTCTTCTCAATCAACTGAATGATATATTTTTCATCAGAATGTGCTTCTATTTTGCTAATGACAACCAACGGAGAATATTTACTTGGATGATTTCAGCTGGTGTGGCACTGTGGGCTAATGTGTCAGACTGCAAAGTCATTTGAAATGCAAGGTTGGTTGTTCAAGATCATCAGCTGCTCCTTGGAAATCCTATACAGGGTCACTATGGGTTGGAATCGACTCTACGGCACTTCACAATGACAAGTACCATTGTAAAACACAACTATTCCTGAAGTAAGATAGGTATTTGAATTGATTTAGCATAGACTTGTGTTATCATGTAGTTGCTGCTGTTATTAAGTTGATTCTGACTCATAGCAACCCTGTGTAAGGTTTCCAGTGAGCAGGTGGTGGGTTTGAACTGCCAACCTTGCAGTTAGCAGTACAGTGCTTATCCAACAGCAACATTCACAGAACCTGGTACTAAATATTCACCTGTGCTCCAAGTATCATCTAGGGAAGTTCCGGTGTAGCACTGTTGGATAATACCCTGAGCAGCAAGGTCGTTTTGAACTGCAAGATCAATGGTTCAAATGCACCAGCAGTTGCTAGTAAACCCTATACAGGTGGCTATAAGTCACAACCACCTCAGCAAGAAGTATCATCTATATATTTCTACCCACATATACGAAATTAAGTCATAAAGCAAGTATAAGTATTTTATAGAACAGAATTTGAGATGCATCGAACTAGATTCTTTCAAAAGTATGCTCATATTCAGATATTAACTTGAATATGACTGCTACAACATGAGTTAATTAAAAGTTTTAAAGAAATAAAACATTGTGTGGTACTAAATATTGAATATGTACATGTAGCTAATCGAAGATTAATTTTATATATTGTAATATCAGAGAACTCTGTTCAACATATCATTATAATAAGCATAGATTCCATGTCATTTTCTATAACAAATAATAAATTTCAGTTAAGTTGTGACATTCTTGTCAAATGTTTACAGTTATAGAAAGCTCTCTTGTTAATGTAAAAGGAGATGTCAATATTTATAAGTCAAACTGAAAAATTTTTAGAACTTTTTATAGTGAATTGAGTGAAGATTTTTACAGAACAGATAAGCAGTTTTAAAATCAACATATCATATATTCTGCTTCATTACAATGATTACAATCCCTTCTATGTGTTTATCTCTCTTCACTTTAACTTTTGCATTCCTCCCTGTGTCTCCTGCTATTTTCTATATTTCCTCTGCCAACTTTCTCTTGTTATATATTGCCTTCTCCGTCACCCATCATTCTTGCTAACACAAGTCTACCCTCTAGCCTGCGAGTAATTGTCCCTCACTAACACACCCTCTTCAGTAACCATCACAGAATATTTATTTCATCAAGGAAACCTTTTCCTAAGTTTTTGCAACAGTAGTCTCATACGATATTTGTTCTTTCATGAGTAGCTAATATCACCCAGTATAATTTCCTCCAGGTTCATCCACATTATGAGGTAGCTTACAGATTCACTGTTCATCTTCAATGTTATGTAGTGTTCCACTGTGTGTATGTAGTGTGCATGTACCAAAATTTGTTTAACCATTCTTCTGTTGATGGGAATTTAGGCTTTCTACAACTTTTTGCTATTGTGAATAGTGCTTCAATGAACTTTGATGTGTTTATATCTATTTGTACTTGTTTTATATGCTGTTATTGTTAAGTGCCTTTGAGTCAATTCCAACTCATAGCAACCCGGTATAGGATTTCTGAAGAGCAGCTGTTGTGTTTGAATTGCCAACCTTGTTGTTTGCAGTCCAGTGCTGATCCTACAGCACCACACCATTTTATATATCTATATCTATAGATAGATGGATAGATATAGATATTATACACACAGCCTGTGAACCACAAGCCTTTTTTTAGTTCTTTCATCCTATATCGATATTCCCCACTACTAGTCAAAATGAAATAAAGCAGTGTTTTAAAAAATAACCAATGGTTACCCCAAAGTTGCTGAGTTTCACTTTTATGGATAACTGTGATTTTTTAAAAAAATTTTGGTATAGTTTCTGACCATGCCAGTTTCTAATGAATACATTGTTGTTGTTGTTAAGTGCAGTCAAGTCAATTCTGACTCATAGCAAACCTGTATACAGTTTCCAAGGTGAGTTTGAACCGCCGACATAGCCATCTATAAAACTTTAGCATATTTGAGTTCTGTCTTCTTTATCTCATAAAAAGCCCAGATTTATTATTATTGTTGTGTTTACAGAGATAATGTTATTGTTCCAAATTCAACCTGTTTTAAGAGTAACCTAAGAATAATAATAAAATAATTTTCAAAAATCTGATCAACTAATAGAAAAATCAAAGATAAACTTCAGTCTTTAGAAACAACACATTTCTGTAATCCTCTCAAAGGTTATCATAAAATTTGGCGCCAGCATATAAGCTCTAAAAATTAAGTCATTATTTACTACATTATAAGTGTTCTCAAATCTATCCAATAGCCTATAACACAAAACAAATTTAACCTACTTAAAAAATGCTACTGTTATTGAAATTTCCTAAGCTGCTTCTTCCTTTTCTTTTTCAGAATGAAGAACAAATTTTGGTATTTTGAGTTTGGCACATCTGAGACGTTCTCAGCCACCTGCAAGAAGCTACATGAATCTGTGGAGATAGAAGTAAGAACAATGGATTATCTTTTATAATTTTATGAAATGGCTCAAGTTTGGTTAGTATGTTTGAACTATAGCCATCGAATGAATTGCATCTTGAATAACAATATAGCTTTAATCAAGATTCTGAAATACCATTTCTATCACACAGTGGGAATATAACACCATCTAAAAATACTAGTATAAAGTTTAGTTTAGGTCTGAGATGTTTTAATACAGTATAAAAAAAAGTGAGTTAGAACACAACTTTTAAAATCAATGGAGAAGTTACTGGATATAGTGTAGAAAGAAAAATGTAAGATAAAAGGAAGCAGTTGAAGAAAAAGGAAAAAAGTTGCAAGATACATAAAAATGTATTATTTTCAGGTCTCAATATTTCATAACCTTTAAAACACAGTTCAAAAAAATTGTTCTTACTTTTATGTTAAAGGTTAAAAAAACAGACTTTTCCATTTCATATCCATTCATTAATGAGGTTTTCTCAGTGCCCAAGGTTGCCATTTCCCCATTACGATTATAGAAAGTGGAAATGCCAAGAAAGATAGCAAGATAAGACACATTTTAAAAAGAATTGGAGCAAATAGGTCTACTCCAAAAATGTAGACACTGTAGGACTCAAAATTTAGAAGACTGGTTACAACACAAAATGACTGAACTATAGGAAATCTTAGGTGTTAAGGAAAAAGGAAAAGTTATATTTTGATAAGATAAAAGACAAAAACAAAGGGGAAAAATTATGAAACACCCTGAATATTTAATGACTAGCTGAAATGAATGGGAAAATATTGGCTTCAACACTTTCACTTTAAAAACAAATGCATAAATGTTCTGTTAACAGCTACATTGTTAGTGACTTGGTTAATAGCATTTGAAATGGATCACATAGGATCACTATGACCTAATTAATTTCCCTAATATTCTAATTCACTATTGATAATATTATCAAAAGTGACACTACTTTGCAATATTGCATTTTTGCACTTTTTTTCCCCCATCACAATTGTTGGAAAAAGTTAAGTATTAAAACATAAACAAGGATCACTATTCATGATATGATATAAATAAATAAGTTGTTGTTAAGTACCATTGAATTACCTACAACCCATAGCGACCCTCTATAGGGTTTTCCAGGAGCAACTGGTGGGTTTAAACCACCAACCTTTTGGTTCAAACTGACATTGCATTCCAGTGCACTATCCTGCAGTGCCACACCAGGGTATATTTAGCTGTAGGGTAAGTACTTCACTGCAATGTCCGTTTGAACTGCAGGGTCGATGGTTCAAATCCACTAGCCACTCAAATCCACTAGGTTCAACTCAGAAACTCTATACAGGGTCGCTATGAGTCAGAACCAACTCGATGGTACTTAACAACAAAAAACTATTTTAAAAAATATACACACACACACACAAACACACATGCATACAGCTGGCAGCACGGTGGTTCTGTAGGATGAGCACGGGACTGTGCACCACAAGGTTGGCTGTTCAAGCCCACCAACAATTCCATGGGAGAAAGATGAGGCTTTCTGCTCCCCAAAAGATTTACTGCTTTGAAATTGATACATGATCTTAATGAGTCCGAACCAACTCCATAACTGTTAGCAACAACAATATATAACATCTACATTTTTATGTTCAAAATTTATTTTAAAGATGCTTTATATTTGTTGTTAAATGCCATCCAGTAGGTTCCAACTCATAGCGACCCTGTATAGGATTTCCGAGAAAGGGTTCAAACCAACCTTGTGGTTGAGTGCTTAACCAGTGGCGCCATACCAGGACTTCTTGGTGGTGGTGGTGATGTGCCGTGGAGTCAGTTCCGACCCATAGTGACCCTGAACAGGGCTTCCGAGGCTGTAAATCTTCATGGGAGTGGAAAGCCTCATCTTTCTCCGCGGAGCAGCTGGTAGTTTAGAACTGCTGACCTATATGTTCGCAGCCCGATTTGTAACCACTACGCTACCAGAGCTCGCTCCATCCAGGACTCCTTAGGGAATTACAAAATCATCTTACTCTAAGAAGTCTTTGCTCAAAGAATGTTTGTAGTATAGCCAAAGTGAAAACACATTTAAAAGTAGTATGACTCCTGTTCAGTTTAAAACTGAAGCCTCCTACATTAGTCTTTCCTCTCTTTACCTCATCCTACCTCTGAACACACATTGAACAACCATTGATATGTAGAATAATATTATATAAATTCAAAGTATCAAAAGTCCAAGAAAATATTGAAAGATACATTTGAAAGCCATGTAGCATTCATAGAGAAAACCACAGTTGAATCAAAGTAACTGTGGAAAATATTTATTTTGAAGTTATGAATAATAATAAATTTGAGTAGTTTTTGTCCAAAGAGCTTTTCATTTTACAGGGGGGATAAAACCTATTGTGAATGCTCTCCAAGAAATCTGGGCAACTAGAATTCAGTTCTTTTTCTTAGGTCGTGTTTCTTTATGTCCTCCAGGCTGTGCTTCCTGGTTTGCAAGCACTAGCTTATTCTGGGATCAAGGCAATAACGTGTCTAACTCAGAGACAGGGCTGAACACTTCCCAGTCATTGTTACATTTATGGAAACACTGTTGTAGGTTTTTGTCTTTTTTTATCATTTCTAAAATTTGGTGTGCATGTATGTGTTTGTGTTGCTTATGGATGTAATACAAAATCCTCTATGCTAAATGTTTAATGAAACCAGTCTATCATAACAGCAGACTATGCTTTTTTACCCTCAAGGTTACTTCATAATTAAATATAAGAAAAACAGCAATTCAGAAATTTGATTCTGTTTTCTGTTGCTTCCTATTTGCCCTAAAATTATACCAGCCACAGTTTGAAAAATATATTACAGATAACAAGTAACAAGAGAAAGTTAAGTAATGGATATATGTTTTATGAACAGTTTCTTAAAAAAACAAATCATTTTGGTGTGTGTTTCACGTTCTTCTTTCACATAGAGAGCACTCTTTCAAGATGATGATATTCGGGAAAACAAAGAATAAGATTTATCTGTTACTAACTATACTTCATGTTTAATGTGAAGCAATGTGCATTCCCTGTAAATTACAGATACTATATATTTTCATTGTAGATATGAGTAATTTGTTTACTAATTGAAGAGAAATTAGAATGTGTTGATGCCAAAATGTTTAAATTTAAGAAAACAAATCAAGTAGAAATAATAGACATAAGTGTAGGGTTAATGCACTGGATTGTAAGGTCGGTTTGAACCTAAGGAGGGTGGTTCAAGCCACTCCTTGGAAACCCTATATAGGGTTGCTGTGAGTCAGAACAAACTTAATGGCACTTAACCACCACCAACAACAGCAATGTGCATAAACATAAACGGAAAGAGTAAAAAGGGATCCAAGAAGTTAATTTTATTTTTTATTATTTTATTGGGAATTGAGTGAAGGTTTACAGACAATAGCATCAGTTTTACTGTCAACAAATCATACACTTTGTTTCAATTCAGAGATTGCAATCCCCATCATGCAACAAGAGTTGCCCTGCTTTCTCCCTCTAGTTCCTATTTACATTCCACCCACCTTTCCATCCCTTGTCAACTTTGTCCTTAGGTAAGTGTTACCCATTTGCTTTTGAATGATTGACCATTCCATGGTGAGCATAGCTTATTAGTGTTGTCTCTAATTCTATACCTATGTACTGCTTTGCTGAAAACCGGCCATGAAGGGAGAGTTCCTTTCCAGACCTGAAGGGTGGTTGAGGGCCATAGTCTCAGGTTTCTCCAGTCTCTTTATGACTAGTAAATCAGGTCTTTTTTTAAAATAATTTTGACTTGTGGTCCACATTTTCATCCAGTCTAACCCGGATCCTTTAATGTGATACCTTTCACAGTAGTTGACAGTGGTATCCAGGCACCATGTAGGTCTTCTGGTCTCAAAGTCATTGAGACTTATGTTTGCAAGTTCTGGACTATTTGATTCTAAGTCTCTTCAATTCTTATCACTCTTCTTTTTTCCACACATGGAAAGACCAATGATGTTGTTAAGTGCCATGGAGTCAGTTCCGACTCATAGCAACCCTGCATAGCATTTCCAAGGCTGTACATCTTTAAGGGAGCAGAAAGCCTCATCTTTCTACCATGGAATAGCTAGTAGTTTTGAACTGCTGACCTTGCAGTTCACAGCCCGATTCGTAACTACTACGCTACCAGAGTTCCTTGGAAAGACCAATAGATGCACCTTAAATGGCCACTTCTGAACTGTCAAGATCTCAGATACAGATTACCAAAGTAGGATTTAGAATACTGTCTTTTGTGGACTGTTATGAGACTATGGCTCTGAGCACTGAGGTCTAGCAACTCATTGTCTTAATATGTTTGATATTATCTTGGAAGTTTTCATCATTTTGCCCTTTGTATGTTCCACCATATTCATACATAGTTGTGTTTATAGGAAAAGCAAATACTCATGTACAAATACCATCTTTCAAAGTCTTATATATTTGTGGGTTATATAAATGTAAATTAAGTATAAGAATATTGTTGCTAAATGTCGTCAAGTCAGTTTCAACCCATAGCAACCCTGTGTAGGATTATAAGGTTTCTGAGGAGCTGTTGGTGAGCTTGAACCATCAATCTTTTGGTTTAAACCGATTTTGCAGTCCAACGCATTAATCCACAGCACCACACCAGGCTTCCAAATCCCACTCTTCCTTTCTTACCCATTTATCCTGTGTCTCAATCCATGTATCTATGCACAGAATCCTGTTGCTTTAAGGCTGTGTATATATCATTATTTACCTCTGTCGCCTATAGCCAATGTCTACGTGTCTGCATCTTCAACTATCTTCATCATTCTTCTACCACCCTCCCTCTTTTTGTTTATTGCCCTATCCTTACGCCTTCTTTTAGATTGTTCTTCCTGTCTCCAGAGCTAACATATGTCTACCCTCTAGCCAGTGAATTACTCCCCTTTCCTTCCCACCCCAGTAACCATCAAAGAATGTTTCTTTTAGTATGAAAAACTTTTCTTAAATTTTTACAATAAT